ACACTCACACACACAGTTTTCCGGAGGAAAGAGCGGAGAGAAGGAGAAAATGTTAGAGCATGAAAATGGCCCAAAACAAGCAAACATTTCGAGACATTCGATGTTTGTGGAAATAGCAAAAGTTTTCTCTTGCATATGGATAGGAAGGTGGAAAGATATTCCTCTTATCCATGCTGAGCATTCGTGCGAGTGTTTTTGTATTTGTCTTCGTTTGAGTGTGTGTGTCATACTTTATGGCCTTAACTCCTGTCTATCTTTTTGGCCATTTAGGCAATATGTTAGCCAATGTCCTCACGCCCTCTCTCTCTCTCTCTCTCTCTCTAGGATTTTCTTCTGTCGCTGCACTTGTCTCTTTTCGAATGTGTCTCCCGGTTCTATCAAAATTATGATAAAAACGACAAATTGTGGCAACTTTTTTCATGTGAAAAATGTCTATTTCTATTTATTTCGGGCTTTTTGCTGCGTGTGTATCTGTCGATATATGTATACACCCGCAGCACATACTAATTTTAGTCCATAGTCATCTGTCTGGCTTTTGCCGGTTCTTCTCTTGCTTTTATCTAGTTTTTAAATTTTTGTTTTTGCTCTCTTTTTTCTATGTGTGCGTGTGGGAATGTCGGATGATTTTTTGATAGTCGTCATTCCTTATCTCTCTCTCGACTGTTTCTGTGCCTCTCTATACGTATTTCTCTTCTTGTTCATCTGATTTCCTGGGGATACACTTTGCGCGGGCGGAAATTATGGGTTTTATTAAGGTTTTGCGTACGGATAAATGGAAGAATTTTTGTGATTTTAGGGGAAGAAATGTTCGTTTCTGAATGTTCTGTCCCACAATTTAAATGCATTCTGTTTTCAATTTATCAGTCGAATTTGATTGTTAGCTTGGAACATTCATCGCAAAGGTATCATTTAAGAGTAGCTGCTACTTCGCTTTACCCCAAAATCCCCGGTTCCTTTCATCATTTATTCTGTGGTTTTTTGCACAACTAAATATTTACTTTTTGCAGGAAAATCTGTGCTGTGTGTGTGTGTATGTGTGTGTGTATTTTCTGGCATTTCTATTTACTGTGAAAATCAAAAGGAAAATTAAATCAGAAACGAAACAAAAGAACGCAAACATTTCGATGGTGGTTGCTGGCTGCTGCTGTGCGGCATGTGGCTAATTTATTAGTTCTCTTACGCTACACTGCTCTTCTTTGGTTTTTTCCTTTTTCCTATATTTATAGAAAATATCCGAAATTATTGACGTGTCGTGAGATCTGTTTTCATGCTATTTTTCATTTTTCGCAGCTACGTCCTTCGAAAAAGTTCCTCCTCCTTCTGCTTGTTCCCAATCATCGAAGGATGTTTGATTTCCTTGGAAGCATCGCTCATCAATTGCCTTCCCTTGTAGTCATCGCTTTTCCCTCGCTAATCGCATTTTCAGCGTTTCCATTTTATTGTTTTTTATGAATCATTGCCAAATAATAAATGAGAATGGAATTTCCTTTCTTTTTACGAGCTATTAAATGTCTGTCTGCTTAGACCTCACGCGAGTGAAAGAGAGAAAAATCTTCCTTGAATGGCTGTTCCTCAAAAGTAATTTTTGTTGACAAATGGAATTCATTATTCCATTTTGTCCTTTGCTCAACGAGGCGCTCATTCAGTCGCTCTTTGTTGACTATCGAAAGGGGGCGAAAACATGAACATCTTTGTCGCTTAAGATCGTGTTTTCCACTTGGATGTCCCCCTTGGTTCTCCTGTGGATCCCAAGGAATGTTTCAGCAGCACTTGACACGAGACTTTGTTGAAGGAAAGAACAAAGGAGATTCACCTACGCAAAGGAGGAGGTCTCTATCTCTTCTGTTATCTCCTGACTCGTGCATGGGGTTCTGGTCTGTTCTGTTCTGTCAGAGGTTCTGTTTGGGGTTCGCATTGCTTCAGGCTCCTGTTTCCTGTCTCCTATTTCCCCACTGTATTCCCCCTCTGGCTTGAGTTGTTCAAAACAACGTTTTAAATGCTGATGGGACCCTTAAATATTTAGTTTTTATTAATTTTATGCATTTTTATGCTTTTTATTTGGAACACAAGTTGAAAGCAAAGTTTTTCGGAGTCTTTAAATGTCAAAAGCATTCAAAACAGAGGAGACTCTCCTCTCTCCTTCTCCCTAAACAGTTTAAGAGTGAAAAACTGTTATGCAAATTTCACTTTTAATTATTTTTGGGGGGGGCTGAGAGAGTTTTCAGTTTAGATTTTGATATGAAAAAGATTTGAGGAACAACCAGAGACACTGACATTTCCATGGTAGCCTCTTTCCCTGCCCCTCTCTGTCTGTGTTTATGGTTATGGCCTGGCTTAAAGCATCGCTTTGCCCTCTTCCCACTCCCCACTCTCCATTACGAATGCTTTTGTCCTGTCAGCTATCTCTCTCTCTCTCTGTTTGCTCTATGAGCAGTGTTTTTTTAGGCCTGGTACTCCGCACGTGGCCACATTGTCGGCCTCATTAAGAGCCAATTGCTGCAACATGTCCCACAGACAACAGCGAGGCTGTCTGCCACTGCCACTTCTTTGTAGGGCCAAATTTGCCCCAAAACACAAATGAACTTGAAATGATTTGACTCTAGAGTTGCGAGACGCTGTCCGAGCCAATTTCGCACTACTTGCTGCTGTGGCAACCAACACACAGGCGAACAGCAGGTGTAATTTATGAAATTACATTTTCATTTTCCCCCCTCTCCCCACCGGAAAGTCGGCAGAAGAAAAGCTGAGCAGGCTCAAAGGTTATCCTCCCGCAGGAGCGGCGGCTGCGATTTCAATTTATTTGGACAATCATAAAAACTTTTGAGGCCGTGTGGTAAGCAGTGTGGCAAGCTGCGTGGCAGCATGGCAGTGTGGCTCCTCTGCGGGCGGAGCTTGTTAAATTTATGCCCCGCCTAATGTTTCATTTGGTTTCTTGGCCGCCTTTTGGGGGGTTGCAACTTTTTAGCATTTGATGCTCCACCGACAGACGGCGCGTCCCGGGCCATAACTTTTGACACCCAGGGAAACTCGATTTGTGGCAGAGCTTCTCCATGAGGGATTTGTGTGTGTGTGTGTGTGTGTGTGTAGGGGGGGAAAAGTTTATTCTCTCGCAATTTGTGCAACTGTTTTGCCATTCCGTTCCGTACTGTCACTGCTGTCATTGCACTGGCGGATGAACAGGCTGCCTGCTGCCTGCTGGCTGCTGGCGAGTCCATCAATAATGCGCGGCCAACAAATCAGAAAAGTTTTTGGTGTGGCAAATATCTGTCATAGATTTAAAGGGGAACTTGGGCAAGGGGCAACAACTGTGGATTCCCTGCCATTTGCTATTTAAATTTCAATTACTCCCTGGGCAACATTTGATTTTGCTTCAATCTTTTGAGGGGCATATCCCGGGTGCAGGGGAGCACATTTTGAATTGCCATTTGAATTATTGAAACGCTTGATTGGAGGAGGGGGAATAGGGCCAGAGCGTGAAATCCAATCAGAGAAAAAGTTACAGCAAACATGTGGGGAAGGGAGCATACAAGTGATCCATATTCGAACACTCATCGATGTGGCAGGGGTTTTGTGTTGGGTCCTACAGAAGGTGGAAGTACATATTTACACACCCATGGGAAAGGTTTTCATGGGTCGAAGGCATACCTGTGTATGTAGGTATGTATCTGTGGGTAGGCCAGCTGCTTCTATGGGTGCAAACAAATATATTTATACATCTATCTTTATAAATCTGTATACACATATGGGAAAATGTTCTGTGAACACAGCCACCGACACACATTTACAGCTGCAGCCCAAAATTATGCACTGAATTTTTATATTTTCAAACATAATCTGTGGGAAACGAGGGGTGGATTAAAAATGTATTGAGAATTAAGAAAATTTAAAGAGAAATAAATACAATTTCTGCCCTTATTGTGCCTGATTTGAATGAATTCTTCAATTATTTATTCGTCAATCGATTCCAGCTAAAGCTTGTCAATCAGCCACTTGAAATGTAGCAAAAACTGTTGCTGATGGCACTTAAGGAATATTTATCTTCTCCCCATAGTTCAGTGCTCGTTTCTTTATTTTATTTGAGAAATTAATCTTAAAATTGGCAGCATCTGTGAGTTGCGAGACTGTGAAATTGGAAATCTTCAAAACGGAATATCTTCTTGTCAGATTTGCTCGTACCTTTTTGTTTCCTTTAAAGTAATTCAATCATTAAGTTGGCTTGAGATGCGAAGCTCCTCCAACCTGTCGGGATGTCCTGCTACAACCCGTAAAAAGAGGCCTCCACATCAGTTCCCTCCATCGCATCCTCCTCCGTTCGGGGCTGGCGGCGTGACAGGGCAAAAAACAGTTACAGTTTCGATTTCCGTTTTTTTCCAATTTCGAATTTCCAGTTTTCCCCCAGGTATGTGCGGCAGATTACTCATACGCACATAAAAAAAGGTTGTTGAAGAAAATTGACGTGGAAAAGTCTCTGCAGAGACACAGAAACAGAGAGAGAGAGAGAGAGAGATAGAGACAGGAACGGAGGCCTTTATGTGGGGTTAACCTCACATTCCATGCCCTCCGCCCCTCAAAAATAACTGTATTTACGCTCTACAGTTATTCCATTCTCTGCCATGCCACATCCCCCTGCCGTGTGCTCGTTGTGGCTGCTTGTTGTTGTTCTCGTTATGTGAAGCACGTGATTTCACTTGGGAGCATTTTAACTTAATTAGGAAACAGGACTGAAAAGCGCTGAAACATGCAACGAAACAGGAGGAGATCAACAGGAGGCAGGCGACACTCCCACATACCGCCAACAAAGGGGGAGGCTCTAGGGGGAGTGTTTCATAAGGATACGCCACCAACTGATGGGCGGATTACAAATTTAACTCAAGGCTTTTCCGTTTTTGTATTTTTTGGTTGGATCTTTGGCGCAACATTTAAGCCAGAATCAATAATGCGGAACGGTTTCATTTTCATTTTCATATTCATTAATGTTAATCTTTTGCTACTTTTTGCAGCACTTGCGGCCTTGCGGCGGCCATGAGCTGCAGCAACACAGAACTTTCGCTGCCACAACGTCGGATGATGATGGGAAGCATCCTCTCGACAAACATAAAACGCAACTGGAAACAGGAGGTGAGTGGGATATTTTGTAAATATTTTGCTTTAATTTGGAGAGGCGAAATTGATTGGCAATCGGGAATGAAAATTGTGGGGAGATCAATCGCTTTGCATTACCACGACCTGTCGCAGGTTTAGAGGTTAATCATACCAAGGGAGAAGTTAAAGTTCAAGAAGATGTTAAAAGCTATGAAGAAGAGTCCAAGAAAAGCGATGAGAATGAGTTGGAAGACAGTGAATCCAAGGGAGTAGATAAAGAATCGTTGGAGAAAGCTGTCATTGCAGAGAGTTCAAGGAATTTGGACAGGAAAATTCAAGAAAATCCACTACAAGTAATAAAAGACTCTCCAAGGAAGGCATTAAGTGAGATTTTTGTTGTTTTAGTTGAGTGTTGCATGTCCATGGGGCATCATTCCCTATGTTCTATTCTATTCCTCTAAAAAAAGCCAAATTCGAATCACAAAAACCAAAGCAAACGAAAAAGAAAGAAGATAATAGGGAATGTATTATGCTGACAAGGAAAATTGATAATGAAAGAGGGAACGGAAAAGAAATTGGGAATGGAAAGAGTTTTCAAGGTAAGCGAAAGAACTGATGGAAATTTAGATTGTGTAAAAGATAGAAAATTGTGTAAAGGGAGAGCAAAAAGGGCAACAAATCATAGAAATTATAGACAACTGAGAGTCTGACTTGTGCGACTCTGGCAGATTACTCTCTTACACTTATGCATGGGTGGGATTCCTAATTGAAAGATAAATTTACATACAATATCTAGGTGAGAATATGACAATATATGGGGAAACCAAAGTGCACTTTTGGGCTGTCATTTTAGAAATATTTCGAAATGAATTTCTCTATCTGAATATGCTTGCCTTTACAAGAAACTTTCATAACCATTTCTCAGACATTTAATGCCCAGTTTAAATCGTTTAAAGAGCGCATAAATCCTTGATTAATTATAGATTACTTCCATAGCAATTAGTGGCATTTGTGGCCGCCCCACCGCACTGCACTTCACTCTTCTCTCTCTCTCTCTTCTCTCGACTCTATCTGCCCATTAAGTCATCCATTATATAAGCCATCAACTAAATGGAAATGAGGATTGTGGCTTGGGGACTGGGGACTGGCAGGACTTTTAGCGAAGAGCAAAACAATTGTTTGACAGATCATTAAACAAATTGCATATTTATTTAGCATAAAATGTTTCTAATTTACATCTGAATAAATCGCAGCAGCGACATGGGAGCATTAACATTAAATAATTTATTATAGTTTTTGGATAGCTTTGGGCTTTACCGCTTAAACTTTAGTACTAAATTAGGCCTAGAGTCAGGCATAAATTAAGGCCTACAATTATAGCATGAAATATGATTATATTTTGGTATTATTAATGGATACTTCGATTGCCCCCGAAGCAATTTCGGTTTTATTGAGCATTTTGCTTGGATTCGTTTTACATTTTATCATCGAGGCTGTCGTAAAGCTCTGCATCCGTAGGGGGTTTGTCCTGCTCCTGTGGCTGCTCCACTTCCTTGCTTGGATCGTAGACCTCAAATTCCTCAAACTCGATTTCATCGTACTTGCGTCGCTCGTAGATGCTTCTATCATTGGCCACATAATGCCGCACCACTGTCTTGTCCACAACCGAGGCGGCACTGCTGCTGGCATTGCTCAGGCGTCGCTCGGGGGCAGCAGCAGGACCTGCCACCTGCTGTATCTGCTGATGTATTTCCACTGGCACAATCATTTGTGGTCTGCCACTGCCATTGATTGCTGCTGCTGTTGTCGTTGTTGTTGTTTGTTGCTTGCTGCCAACTTTTGACACTGCCACCTCTTCGGTTTGTGGCATTTTCTGGCCCTGCGGCAGCCACTGATTGCCTTCGTGGGTGGCGCCGGCTCTGCCCTGGGGCGTGCCTCCACCTGCCGTTGGCTGCTTAACCAATGTGTAGGCCAAATCCACATTTTTATTGCGGCAAACTTTGCTTACATTCGAGGCATTCCCATTGCTGCTGCCACGTGGCACATCGAGGCGTATGTTCATGGCCTGCGACTCGTATGTGGGATGTGAAATTTCATTCTCTGCCGCATGGCTGCCTCCTCCATTCAAGATTTCACTTCTCTGCGCCTGGACATTAATGTGATTATTGACTGTCACTGGGAGGCGTCTCGGCGGGGCAGCTGCCTCCGTTAACTGACTCTGACTGTGGCTCTGACTGTTGATGGTCACGGGGTCTGTGGCTGTTGCCTCGAAATGGTGCACCATTTTGCGCACCACTTCGCTATCGGCGGTGACCTCCATATCGGCGCCAGCTAACTCCAGGCGACTGCTGCAGCTATTCGACTTAACCAACTTGAATTTGATGCCTAAAAAGAGAGCGGGGTTTAAGTATCCTTCTTCGTCCTTTAAGTGCGTGCTTAAGCCTCACCCTGATAGGAGTCCTGTGACTGCTGCTCCTGCTCCTCGAGGCTTTGCTTCGTCTGCAATCGATGCTCGCATCTGTCGCTGGGCAGACACACGTTGCATGCCTCAATCTGACGTATGCGGGAGCGTGTGCCATTCATTTGCTGTGCGGCTGCGGCTGCGGCTGCCCCAGCTTGTGGCAAAGGCATCTTCGATGTGGCATTATCCAGGACTCGGCCGCCGTAGTAAGTGACTGTTGAGCCGCATTCCCTTATCTTGGCCAGAATATCCTGCAAAAGGGACAGAAATTGTAGTGCGGGGAACCCAACTCACATTCAGGCCACATTCAAGGACATCAAAAGGCAGAAAGGCTAATGGTCCATAAAGCCACAGCACACGCAAAAGTCTCGTCCTTTTTGGTGCCACACCCAAAGGGTCTGTGGCTGAGGCTACTTACATTGCTGACATAATAGTTCTCGCACATGTCCTGCTCCTCGGACTGCTGCTCATCCTCTTCCTCGTCGTAGTGGTCCTCCTCCTCCTGCTGCTCATCCTCGGGACAATCCTCTGCGTGGCCCAAATTTTGTTCATAAATTTGACGATAGAGCGAGTCACTGGCGGCTCCTGCCCCACCCATGCACCAGGTGCGTCGCGAGGCAAACTTTGCGCGTGCCTTGGCATTTGCCGCATTGCTGTTGTGCCGCCGGACGACATCCTGCACGTGCACATCCTTGCAGGCCATCACGGGGGACGACTCCTGCGGATGGCAGTCGCCGCAGGGAGAGCTCAGATCCCCGCTGGAGATGCCACTCGAGAGACTGCCAGTGTCCCAGTGGCCGCCCAGCTTGGAGTGCTTGTGCTGCTGCTGCTCGTGCTCCTCCTCCGCCAGCAGATCCATGCCCTTGGGCTGCTCCACGCCCGACGAAGAGGAGTCGCCGCCGCCATAGCTCGTGTCTATGGTGAGATATCGATAGGACGATCCCTGGGCTCTCCTCGCTGCTTTGGGACTCAATTGACAGGCGGATCCACCGAACTTTTGCTGCGATCGCACGAGCAGTCCCTGCCCTGGAGACGGCATCACATTCTGCTCGAAGAAGCGACGGACATTCCGCACGGTATCCGGATCGGGCAGCTCATCTTCGTACAGCTCTCGATTGACCCTCACGGGCTGATAGAAGAAGTGACGCCTGGCTGCAGCTCCCCCACCACCGCCTCCTCCTCCGCCCATCTGTCGCTGGCGGAGTGTGTTCCTTCGTGGCTGCGACCCCGAGGCATGTATCACTCGCGGCGGCTTTGGTGGTCCCGCAGCGGCAGCAGCAGCGGCAGCCACGCCCGTTTTGTTGCCACCCACTTGCAGGGGTCGCTCGATCTTAGTCCTCACGGGCTCCACAATGACCACATTGTTGTTGCTGAGCAGCTCCTGGAAGGAGTAGTCCTGCAGATACTGGATGAGGCCATCGAACTGTGCCTCCTTCTTGTTGCGCGTCGAATGGTGCAGAATGTTGCTGCGAATCAGCTGCTGCGACTTGAGCACCTTGTACCGAATGTGATCGAACTGTGCCCCATCCTGATCCTCGTCCTCATCCGCATCGGGATCGGGGCCAGCACTCACAATGGTGGCCTTCTGGGAGCCTTCGCCCAGTTCCACAATCTCAATCGAGGGCGGCGGCATCATGCTGCAGAAATCATTGCTGTGCGGCTGCGGCTGCGGCTGCTGCTGATGCAACTGCTGCTGTTGCAAGGCTGTGGTCTTGCCACCCAACTGGAAATGGACACCCTGCTCCTGCGGTGGCTCCTCCACTCCTTTGTCCGTTTCTGGTTCATTACCCGCCAACTTTTGCCAATAGCAGCGCACGGCATCCACTTTCTGAAGATATTCCGTGGCCACTGCGCCTCCTCCTCCTCCTGCCCCACCGCTACTGACGGTGGAGGCTATGCTTCTGGCACTGCTGCGGCGCCTCAGGCTGCCCTCGGTGGCGCCTCCATCCACAACGTGCAGGATCTGTGGTCGCGACATTTTGCCCCGACCAAAGGTCGACTCGCTGTGGCCTGCGGCCAGTACTTTGATGGGCCTTGCCTTGTAAATGGGCGCCCCGCCGCTGTGCAGGACTCGGCGCTCGGGGGGCTTGCTGCCCGAAGATGAACTCTGGGAGCGGCGCACGTTGCGGGGTCGCTGTGATGAATGCTCCTCGTGAATGGCTTCCTTTTGGATGATATTGTTCTGGGCGTCGGTGACAATGATATGGAACAGGGTCTCCTCTTCCTGTTCCGCTTCCTTCTGCTGCTGCTGCTGCTGCTGCTGCTCCTGTATTCCGGTAAAAGAAACGTTCTGGTCGTGGTCCTTGCGCTCACGAATTTCCTGTGCACGACGCTCGATTAGTTGGCTAAAGTTTGCCACCTCGATGACAGGCGCCTCCTTGGGTTTCTCCACGTGCACAATGGACACTAGCTCGGGCTCCTCCTGTGGCTCCTCCTCCTCCTCCTCCTGCTGCTGCTTTTCCTCTTCCGTTAATGGTGGCGGAGGTGGTGGCAATGGTGGCTCCTCTTCCTCGAGCTCCTCTTGCCTTTGTGGCTCTTCTGGTGCAACGATTTCCTTTGTTATCTTTGTTACCTT